TATCCCTTCAATAATTGTATTAAATACTTTAATTATATTCCACATACACACTGTATATTTATTTTCTTCAAAAGCAGCCACTTAAGTCCCATTTGGTGTTAGATAAGAAAAAGAAGTTACACAGTGTCATTCATACAACATTTACTTTGTTTTAATAGCAGAAGTTTATTTTCTTCTTTCAGCGGCATTAAACAGGGGCATTCAATGATACACATGCATGGGAAGAACATTCTTTGCAATACCTCTGACAAAAGCTGAAGATTCCAAAGTAGCTCCTTATCTAGTTCTTCATCATGTAATACATCATCATCTAGAGGAACAAGCGATAAGCACTGCTGTAATGATACTGCAGCCAAGTTTTCCAAACAAGCTAAATTGTAAACCAGATGCTTGCATCCCAAGTTTATTCCCAACCCTTCTATTGCAACCTTCCAATTCATATTGCACCCACGTCCAACTGGAAATTACTTTACCCAATTTAACATTTTGAATGCTTTTTGAGGAATGTCTGGAGACATTTTAAAGTGCTACATTTTTTAAAGAAACATGATGCTGTAGCTTGATACATTTCTGTCTTAAAATTACACATAAATAGTTCTTGATTTGGTTTTTTTTTTTTAGACAACATAATGGACAGATGTCATTCTCCATCATTGAAAAGAAGTTGTGGAAAACACAGAAGTTCTAAATATTACTCTCATGTTTAACAAAAGTCAACCCAAACCAAAGCAAATAACACTATAAATCTTATAAACTTACTGACTGTGAGGTGAGTTACAACATTGCAGCAATGTGGTACAAACAGCTTCAAGGATTCCTCAGGGCGGCACTGGAAACAGCATTGTAAATAGCCCATTTTTAAAAAAAAGATGCTTTATGGAACTCAGTACACACATTGATAAGAATTTTAAAATGCTATTGAATAAGAACAGATTGTGTCTCAACTCCTTCTAGCATCAGCCTGACTTCACGATTTTTAAACACTCAACAAAACCTAAACTTAACATACATGCAAGAAAAATACTTTGTGAATTAACCTCCTGAAATATTGCTATATGCAACCATCCAATTTTAAAAGACATAATATTAAGAATCACCTGTATTTACATGAAAAATTAAAGACCTTACATAAGAAAAGAGTAGTATTGGCTTTTTTCCCCTTTTTTTAACCTAAAGTTCAATGGAAGTCAGAGCATTTTCTCTCACTTTTACTGCAGCTCGACACATATCAGCCACCATTCGACCAGCAACTCTCGTCTCAAATATATTTGAAACAGCGAAGTTAAAAACCTTCTCCAAGGCAACCTAAAAATAAGTAAAAAAAAAAAAGTTACTTTTTTAAAAGAAGAAAACTAGGTACCATAGAATGTTTGATGTTACACAGAAAACAGCATCTGTACATAACATTGCATTGTTTTAAAACAGAAGACTGCAACCATGATTCACATTTAAAAAAAAAAAAAATCAGAATAGAGACAGAGAAAGCAGTTCTGTAGAAAACCTAAAGCTGAGTAAAATGTAATTAGCACCGCAATCAAAGCTGACAATGCTACAGAATAGGAATATTAAAAACTTGTGTGAATAACAACTGCTCAGGAAAAAAATCCTAAATGTTATCAGTACAAGACTTGTGCTCTACGCAACACCTACGTCTAGCTGTACATCTACTGCCTTGAGCAGAAGAATAAACGTTGCTACAGAAGTAGCAATGACAAAAGGTTTGTCAAAATAGTTTGTTTGCAGATTTTCACATTTTTTTCCTTCTTATTTATTACAATAGTCAGTTACAGTAACACACTGTAACAGGAAAATACATGACAGCATCCACTATCATTACAATAATTCAAGTACAGGAAGGTCTATATGCCCCTGTTCCC